ACTGAGAATAAGTAAACTTTTCATGGAGAAAATAGAGTTTCCTTTAACCAATGACTCCAGTCTCTGAGGATTTACTGCACATACCTGTGGAGAACCATGGACCTCATGAGCATAATAAGGCTGACCAAGCAAGACAGGGTCATCGCACAGAGGTAGCATACTAACAAGCAAATGATGCAAAAGAAAAAACAAATTAGTCTTACTTTAAAACAAAAATACTTTGTTTTATTTTGTTTCAGGGACAGCAAACAGACACACATACCTTCCAGCAGCCATGTGTAAAAAGTTACAATTCTAACAACCTCCATCCTGTCATCTGATAACACAATCCCAAAACCCAGTAACAAGAAGGCGATATTTTCATCAATACCAGCACGAACAATGTGGAGAGTGGGCACCACCAGGACAACTATCAAGAGTGCGGTCTGTAGGGTGAAACAGGCAATGGTGAAAGTAAAACAAATGAACCAAGATGGTATGACATTTTAAAATAGGTAAAGGTATTATTGGCTTATTTAAGCTCACATGGTATATAGCCACACAGGTAACAAAAGATGATACCGCCAGCTTCAGTGGAAAACGAAACACTGAAAGGAAAAATGATCAAGTAGGTTACTGCAGCATTTCCAATATGTCAGATATGCAGAAGAAGTTAAGTCAGCGTTACATAAAAAAATATATCTGTATGAGAACACCCACCTTTTTCAGGAATATAAATGTAACCCTTAATCACCTCCAGAATTCTCTCTGCAAGCGCTGGTTTGTCAGATGCTGACGAACTACAAGAGAACAAGTCGTGAGAGCTGCAAACTACATGAATGCGATTTATATTTAATTTATTTAACTTATTTACTTATGTATTGCTGATATCTGCAACTGAATTGGAAGTTCCCCTTCAAGCCTCCCCCAGTACCTCACTGTGGGAAGAGCCCTCCGGTATGATCCATCAGATAATCAGAATCAGTATCATAGTTTTCAGAGAATCTGGGTTACGCTAGTAACCAAACATTTTCTACAGTAACAATTCAAGGCCACAAGCTCCATTGCAACACTGTAGTACTATATTTCCTCCTATTTTTTGGTTCACATCTAACTCTTACAGTAAGTATTTATTTAATAAATGCTTAAAAAAATATCTTTAAATAAATAAAATTTCAACAAGGATATTAACTTAGTTGTTTATTTATGCATATTACAGTTCTCAAAATAAAAAAAAAACCTTGTCTATAAATAATTTAGAAAATACTACCTTATGTATTCATTTGATCTTGATTAGATTAATGCACTGTTCTCATTTTTTGCTCACACAACAAAGACAAAGAAAACAAACTTGAGCTGATTCAGAATTAAAGTAAGGTAAAGTTGAATAAATATCCAAATCCCATTTTGCAATGATCATTTCGGTTATAGAGGTTTATCCCCCAAAATATACAGTAAACCTTCTGTAAGCACCTTAATTGTTCAATGGGCTGGATAAACAAAGCTAACACTTCATCTTTTTTAATTCAGCATTTACTTTATTTTTAAAAACTGACACTTGCTTTTGGCCTGTCTTTAAATAATACCTTCACTCATACTTCTTTAATTGCACGTAAACTTCTTTGTACCTTGTTTTGAAAATAACTTTGTTCTTCCTCTTCTTCCTATCAGTCTTAACAGTAATCTGGATCTTTAAGGTGAATTTGGTTGTTTTAATTATCCTAATTTTATCACCTTTGAAGGTGCAAGCAAATATAGGTAATCCACAGTTTTAAAATGCTTTTACTTTGAATGAAAATCATGCATACGTGTGGTGAGGCATGTGGTCAATTTCAACATATTTGTGGGTTTAAAATTATACACCATTACACAATTGAAGCCAGTAGGAATCTCACTTTTAAAACACACACAAAAAAATAATTTTGGCATGTGGCTTGAAAGTGCAATTAATTTGATTTGCATGAAGCTAGAGAAGCAAATGATCAGTTGATTTAATATCAAATGCTAGACTCCACTAATCTCATTTTTGAAGTTACTCCAAAACAGTGATTATTTTAGCTTATAACTTGTGGAGCCTGGGCTCTGAACCAGTGACAGTCAGCTAATACAATATAGAAAGAAAAGAATATTCTGAAAGGAAAAGAAGAAAATCTTTAGCAAATACTACTCTATAAATATCTATTAAAAATAAACCTACAAACATTATCAGGCCTTTGTCACATATTACATTCTGAAACTGAGAAGTCAGAAAATGATCACACTGCAATAAAGAGCTGCTAGCTCACTGTAATGGCACAGTTAATGGAACTGGAACTGAACACATTAAAGTCAGCAGCAAAACTGCCA